CGTGCGAGAAAGAATTAAGTTACCAGTAACATCGAGATGATGCAATAAAGGGTAATAATTAGAAAGCCTGGTGGGTGGGCAGGGCAGGGATTCATCACAGCATGGCGAAATACCACAGATTGTGCAGAACTGCTTAGCAGCTATCAATAGAAGTGTGGTTTTAGGAAGAAAACACAGCTCCACGGTGTGCTGATGCCACTGGGTGGAGGCAAAATGAAGGTGGAATATAACTTTGTAAACATGCCTATGTGTGTTTGAAGAGGTTGACATAAAAGCATACTTTTTAAGTTGAACTGCTGAACTTGCTTTTTTTGCTTTGAGGAAGAATATAAACAGACCTAGATAAACAAGACAGGCCTGCCTCTGCAAACTAACGACGAGCAGCATCAGAATATTTATATTAAATTAATTAGCAGGCAGCCGAGACTCAGGTCAAAACAGACAATAGAAAAAAAAGGGGGATTTCAAACGAAGAGTCAGCAGGAGGTGATTTCATTCGCCGGGAATCAGAGCGAAGGTATTCCCCTTCTCGAGGACTGTGGTTAGGACGGCGGCAGGCACAGAGCAAAGTGCGAATGGTGAGAGATAAAAAACAAAAACTGAAGATCCGAATCGTTAAAAGGTTTTGTTCACATTCAGAAGCCATCGAGAGCAAACATCAAACGGAGCACAAAATTCCTAAACCGAGGAATATAACTTGGAAGAGGCTCTGTGGGAAACACCATATAGTTCTATGTATAATTAGCAGATTACAATGATGCCCACATCACTATTGACTGGTTTTCCCCCAAACTAAGTTGCTAAATTTACCTCTGAAAAGGAGGCCTTTCTTCTCAGAGCATTTTTCTGACCAGAAGGACATTCCAACTGCAGTGATGTCACAAAGTTAATCCCTACAAAGAAAAACCGCTGAACAAGACGTGTTTTGATGAATCGGTTTGTTATTATTATAAAGCTAACTTTAAATGCCCTTTTTCTTCCTTTTTTTTAAATAGTGACCTGTTTATTTTTTCATACTTTAAACTGGTGCATAAGCTGTTCAGTCACTGTGCCCTTTTCTTAAACCAAACACAGACACATATACACGAGTGCGTGCATACAGGGGACTTCCAGGCCAACACACCTACACCCACACTCAACGGTATTTAAACTAAGCAGTGACACACTGCATCCGTATGTCCTTGCTTTTACACTACATTATGTGCACCATAATTATTACTGTTTTTTAAAAAGAGAGAAGAAAATGCCCTACATACCAAACAGCTGCACAGTCATCCTCGGCAAACTACTACTTTTGAAAAGGAGAAAAAAAACCTGCAGCCAAAAATTAAAAAAGAAGCTTTTATTCAAGTGTTTATGCAAGTTTTTTGTTTTTACTATTTAAACTAACATGGTAACTGCTAACATGTGCAAAGGTTACAGCTTGGAAAATCCTTGCACATTATTGGAACCTAAGTTAACTCCTTACGCCACTATTGACCTTTCAGGTCTTGTGCAACAGGTCAGCCGGACGTGGTCAGTCGGTTACACTTCACAGGTTACTGTAATGTGTAAAGTACAGTTAAGAAAGATTTGCTGTCATTGGTTGGCTGTATTGCACTAACTAAAAATAATTTAAGTCCAATGTGAAGTCAGGCAGACTCAAAAAATGTCAAAACACCCCCAAATTAAAGTTTATGACTTCAGGGCTATTATAACGGAATGGTCAATAGTAACCACGACCATAAAAAAACATGAAACAATTGATTTGACTTTGTCCTTGAGCACAGTTTGGGTAAAGACCCATCAGTTGACTGCGTGTTTGTGTGAGCTTGATTGAATTCCGTCCAATCCTGAAGCGGAAGCCATTGTTGTAAAACGTGGAGGCACGTACAAAGGATGACCTCAGTTCAGCTGACTGAGCTAAAAATTGTCTTTAGGAATTTTTTCATCTATTAGCAGTCTAGTGTTGCCAAAGAATTCCATGTATCTTCAGCTTGAAATTCCCCATCATCCAAAAGGTCATTAAGAAATAGCCGTGAGGAGAAACTGTTGAAGTCATGACTGCATGCATTAAATATTTAAAGAACGGTTCCTTTTTAGTGTATATCTGGTGCACAGGGTCTACCTACTTTACTCAATGTCACCTCAATTCAAATATCAACCAAATATAGAATTTTCACAGAGAAGGCAAAATTGTGCTTGCAAAGTGTATGAGCCTGTTATAAAAATGAGAACTTTATTTCCTGTAAACTACCCAGCATACAGTGCACAAACATATAGGCAAAACACAACAGCCATGATATCAACAAATGTAATAATACTAAAAAGAGGCCAGTGTACTACATAATGAAATCACTTCAATAACTTAATGTAAAAAAAAAAGATTTAAAACAGACTCTTGTGGTCAAAAGGTAGGATACTTTCTTCTCCTGGTCTTGAGAGTGATCCCAGTCTTAGCTGAGAAATTCAAAATTTGGTATTCAATTTACATGCATTTTATTGCCCTGAGCTCTGCTTTGAAAGGCGTCTGGTTTCCTACATGACCACTTCAACTTTCTGTCTTAATTTGAGTGTGATAAATCAGCCTGAATGAAGCATTGCTCAACACACTTCATTCAAAGATTGAAACCAGGATTGAGCTGAAACAACTGTGACACACAATTTGGCAATTCAGTTGTTCTGCACACGACAAAGACGCCCACACCTCTTCTGAGCTCTGTTTTCAGGCAAAAGAAAAAATATAAACCCGGAAGGGAGACTCTTCAGTTGCGATTATGTGAGTATAAAGTGTACACAGCGACAAGGAAGTAAGACACTGGAGCTTAATGGGTTAAGCAGAGGTTTTTCACTGGAAAAGCGAAGTTTAAAACCCAAAGAAAGCTAAAATACTTTTCTTTACAGATGCCTGAATACTTACACACGTTAAATAAAGTGCCTTAAAGTAAGTCTGTCTTGTTGTTTTATTTCAATCTGAATGCAGCATCGCTCAAAACGATTCATCCAAAGAATGAAATCAGGAACTGCTTACTGCCCACATGTATGCTGACTAGCCATCATCCTAAAACTATTACTAATCATATTACTAACCATATGTCAAATCACAAGACTTGCTATGCGTGGCATGCTGCGAAAGCCAGTTTCAAAACTTTTTATTCCTAAGAAACTCAAAATAAGATGGTGAATGGCGTGACAACAGGCAGCAACACAGACCACACCTTCCCAGTTCAGGCTTCAAAAATCCTGGACATATGCTGTAGGTGTAGAAACTATATTTCAAGTCTAAACCCAGAATTATTTCAGCAAATAATGTGGTGTATTTTTTTTTTTTTTTTTTTACAGAGAGGTGACGCTAACAATTAACATCATTTACAGAGGTTGTTTGTTTGTTTGTCTGTGTTTGCGTCTCCTCCATTATGGCCGTTCATATGCTGATCACAAGGTCAAGATTAAAAGTAAACCTGACCTTGAGGAGCATTGTCGTCTAAGGAAACACCTGCACATTGAGGTTCTCCCCTTTTAAGGAGAAATTTAAGATTATGCAGGTGAGGTGTGTGACACAGTACCCAGATCTGATTAGAGCAGGGGTGTCGAACTCCAGGCCTCGAGGGCCGGTGTCCTGCAGGTTTTAGATCTCACCCTGAACTGAATCAAATGATTAGTTTATTACCAAGCCTCTGGAGAACTTCAAGACATGTTGAGGAGGCAATTTAGCCATTTAAATCAGCTGTGTTGGATCAAGGACACATCTAAAACCTGCAGGACACCGGCCCTCGAGGCCTGGAGTTCGACACCTGTTGATTAGAGGTTATAAAAACATGGTTAGGTACAACGGACAGTGGCCAGGGGAAGATGGTGGCTGAGGAATGCATAATAAAGGATTATAGATTTTGTATTTCTAAAGGGTTAGAGGTTAGACGCCAGAAGGAAGTGGGGAGCAGTGAACAGCAGAGCAGCTTGGTTGAGTGAATGAACATGACGGGAAAGAGGTTATGAAAAAGATTTTGTCATCTGACAGGTAGAACAAGCCCAGATGTGGTAAAACTGGTTTAAAAATGAAGAAACACAGCATTGCAGTTTCACTATGACACCAGTTACCATTATGAAAAAAGCAAAGTTTAAACAATTACTTTTATCTGTTTTGGCTTAGATAATCAAATATATCAGACATAAGGAAACCATTAATTATACAGTTACTGCTGCTAGTCAATTACCATCGAGCTGTGGAACCTCAAGTCTCCTTTTCTCGGAGTATTGTCATCTATTTAATGTTATCTGAACACAGATTTCTACCCTAATGAAGATAATGTGATACTGAAAACTCTGGCACAGCTATAATATATAGATGGGTGAGACTGCTTAGTCATATTCTGTTTTTAATGCTCAAATGTGAACTGCACAAAGTAAGTCACAATATTGATTGGATATATTCACAGCCAGCTAGATTGATTTGCTTCTTAACATTACCATATTATAAATGGTCACCCTGAAAAAGCAGTAATTATGCAAAATGTCATTACTGCTTTATGTTGTAACTTTACATATAACTAGCAGCATAGTAGCAGTAATAAATTAACCTGCCCACTTTGTCACTAAATAGAAAATAGAAGTTTAAAAACTGCACTGGAGTAAAAACAGTAAAAAGTACAATATTTTTACACTGAAATGCTGTGAAAATATAAAGCAGCAGAACACTTACATTTAGCTAACTCGTAGACAAAATTATAAATAGGCCTTCCTCAAAGAGGATTCTACAGCACTACTTGATAAAAATGCAGCCTACCTAGTTACTTTAATCCGCTGCGTTTTTTAATTAAATCACGAAAAACTCCCAAACAATTCTGTTTAGTCGAGGTTTGTCACATTTGTCCGTAAAAGCTCATTTCCAGCATCCCCTCACAGTAAAAACCCGGTTAAGCACCGGGAGCAGGACGTGTTCTTTCAAACGAATTTTCTGAGGCGCATGCGCACAGTCGCACCACTGCAACGGCTCTGCAGTCACAGCTAGACGGTGACGTCACTCAATTCAAGCGATAGGCAAGCCCGGACACACACCGGTAGGCGATGAGCGGCGTTGCTGATTCGACCCAGGCAACCGGGGGATCCAAAAAAACTGTTGAGCCGGGGACGGTTGAAGACCACACCGTAGACCACACCAGCGAGGAGCCGGGACTATTCGACGGGTACCGTGTTGCGTTTAAGTGCCGTTTTTTGTTCCTCGTATAAGCATCACCGGGCTACCTGTCAGAGCAGCCTGACACGGAGCTTATCGCAGCAGGTTTTTATGGACGTGACAATGACTCTCCAGGATGAACTGACCACAGCCGCGGCGAAGGGAAACACGGCAGCGGTGGAGGCTCTTCTGGAGAGAGGGGCTCAAGTTAACGGGACGAACAGTTTTGGACGAACAGCTCTGCAGGTCAGTGCCGTCAGTAACAGCCCACTTTCTCCCACTTACACGGGTCTCATCAGGCGGGGTAACTCAAAGTTTCCAAATGGCAAACGCAGGCATAAATCCTTATTATTTCTATTATTTTTTTTTACAACTATTAGCTATTAGAGATTTATACATGTCAGTAATAATAATAATAATCATTAAGAAAGAAAGAAACGACGGGTCTGAAAGTGACGCGCTTTGTTGTGTTTATGGAAGTCGCGTATTTTTATTGAGGAAAAGCAACAATCCCGGATCCCTTTGGTTTATTGTAAAAGCTGTAACGGCATCAATAGTGAAATGAAACTATAATATTGTTTCTTGCCTTTGGATTGGCCTAAAAAACTAGGCTGCATTGCAATATATGTGGCACAAAAATACTTTAACAATATAAAGCATCATAATATATTTTTACGCATTCTTTATACACACACACATACATATATATATATATATATATATATATATATATATATATATATATATATATATATATATTTGAATTCATGGCCCACATGTTGCGCTGATCGGTAGTGAAATGCCTCTTCAGTTGTTGCACTACAACAACTACAATAATCCATCTTATCTACATTCTTTGGAGCTTTTTAAAAAACCTGTCGCGTCAGTCACAGCAGGCCTGTTTTGGTTGGGTGTAGAAGACTCGGGTTCAAGTAAAATGAAAGTCAACACTAAAGTCAGCCGCATGATAATAAATACATGAATAAATAAACGCACAGGGTTAAGTGTCTGTGCAAATAGTGCAAAAATAATTAACTGGCGCTGTACTTGTGCTTAATGTGCGCCTATATTAGTGAGTGACGGTGGGCTTACATGAAATAGTTTTTGTGCTTCAGAGTAAAATAATCGGATTCAGTTAAATCTGTTAATATGATTCCCGGTCATGTTTTTTTGTGTGTGTGTAGGTAATGATGATGGGGAGCACGTCGGTGGCTCAGCTGTTACTCGAGCATGGAGCGAATTCCAACGTGGGGGACTCAAGCACCGGGGCAAGCCCGCTGCACGACGCTGCTCGGACGGGCTTTCTGGACACTGTGCACCTTTTAGTGCAGCACCACGCAGACCCACAGGCCAGGGACAAGTTAAACCGTCTGCCTGTCGATTTAGCCAGACAGCACGGCCATAGAGATGTTGTTGATTTCCTGGAGAGTCTGCAAAATCCCTAACGCTGTGATGTCTTATTTTTATTTTTTTAACTCCTTGCAGCCGGTTCTGAAGGTGGACTTTGCAGAGCAGGGGCCTAAAAAGGCCTTCAGCCGAAATTACACACTTGAAGTTTTGCTGTAAAATGCAGTATTGCTCTTTATTTATTCACTTTCGGTGTGTATCATTATTTTATTTCTAACGAAATTAGGGTTGTCGATGGGTCTATGTGTAAAAATGTAGGCCACATTTTCACACAACAACATCGCAACTTTTGTTAATTTAAGAATACGTTTTATGTTTTGTTTTATTTTTGGGGGGGGGTTTTCCAAGTGTTTATTTTCACTTTTTAAACATTTTTCCTTGTAAATATAATGTACAGTTTTACCCAATTATATTGTTTGCATATCAGATATTTAACTAAATAATACAAGAGATATTTTAGAAAGAAATTGGAAACTTTGCGAAGTTTGTGAACTTTTTTTTTTTTTTTTTTTTTTTTAAATCCAGGATGCACACTACTGAGGTCTAATCTCATTATTACCTAATACTGATATTCTGCACCTTGATGTAAACTGTAACACTGGTTTGAGGGCTGGACTGCTGTAGGATGCGTACTGGAGAATTAAAAACAAATGGAAAATACATGAAATACGTAACTCTGAACTCAGTAGTTTAATTATCCCAAAGGAGCTTTTGAATAAATTAAACTTTTCTTAAATTGGGGTAGGATTACCGTAGACAAGTTTGTAACTGCTCCGTCCCGCTTCCTTTTCCAGCGTGTAAATTGACGGGTACGGAGTTGGAGGCAACCCGCTGCGCCTGTTCTTTGTTCACCTGCTTTACTTGTGTTGCTTATTTTAATTGCTCTATTTCAAACATGAAAATAAAAATACAACCAAGCGGTTCTGAGCCGATACAGACTGCATACAGCGCATGGTAAGGATTATTATCATGCCAGTATTTGTGCAAATGTTTATTTATTCAGTGAAGAACTGACGTTTACTGAGCTCGCCTAACGGTGCTTTAGTAGCGTTTTGGGTCAGAATTACTTTTATAGTGGTACATTACTGACTCCTCATTAAAAAATAAAAATCTGAAAAGATAAAGAAAATAAATTGTATAAAGCTATGTTAAACATGAGGATGGCTTAAGTTCACCAATAACCAAAGGTGTATTCTACAACATACAGAAATCCACTCCATAGTTCTAGTGTTTGCTGCTTTTAAATTGTCATAAACTGTAACAATAGTAAACCCTTTCAAATAAGATTTAATTCATCCTGTGTCGGACAAAAGTATCTTTAAGATTAAATCAGTGATTTCCAGCACACTCCTGTTTCAAGAGCAGCAAAAAAACAAAAAACAAAAACACCACAACCCTAAATTGTTCCCCTTAGGATATGAACACATGCCGCAAACCAACTGAGAAAATATTCACTGCAAGTCCAAGTAACTCAATTAACCACAAACTCAACTTGGATTAGTCAAAGTCTAACTTTTATTGAGACAAATTATTCATACTACAGAAAAACAGGCTGCTGAAGAAGAGGCTACTAAATATGCTGTGCAATGTACAGAGTAAGTTCAAGTTAAGAAAATCTAAACAAGAAAAATCTCAAATGACTACAATATGATGCAACATGACAAAATTCCCATTTCAATCCATGCTTTGGGGGGAGAAAAACAAAAAACAAAAAAAAACTGTCAGTATAGCAAATAATTTGGGTGTTTCCCCGCCACTACCACTGTTGGTACAGGTTTACTGCCGATTTGACAGCTTTTCACTGACTTGGTTACGGTATTTGCAGGTACAGAGCAGCATGCCATTCAAAATGAGATGTTTCTCTAGTCATTAAACCGTCATAAAGAGCAAATAAAAATGAAATGATTCCGTAAAGACCACAAGAGTGGCCAGATTGAAGTAACATGTAGACGTTCAGTCATTCTCATGCTGACAATAGATTCAAGCTCGAAGAGTAGAAGCTTAAATGCAACTAAGGCAGTAATATAGTCTTTGTGTGCTAAACTTGCAAAGCTTTAAAAATCATCTTCATATAACCAGAAACTAAGACACCAGTGGCTTACAACCAGCAAACACATACACAAATGTGTCCACAAAATACTGAATACTTAAAACCTTAGAATGTTTAGACCCAAATGTGGTAACTGTAACAAACATCCATTTCCTCAACTACAGCTAGAGTGGAAGGGCCCTCCCACCTAACACTGTGTGAGAGGAAAACATGCTCCAGACATAAATGAGTGATCTCTGAATCAGAGTCAAGAGTAAACACAAAACACTGAACATCCAACTAAATAAAGACCCCCCCAAAAAAAGTGGATTATTTAATGTGAGGCACTTTGTTGTGATTCACTGATGATGATTGGACGGGCAGGGTTGAGTTTGCAGTCGGTGTTTGACTCCGTGTGGGTGGTTGTCTGGTCTCTTTATCCTTTCTAGTAGTTTCCTCTGCGTTTAGTGCTTCGGTATCATTACTGAAGACTGAGCCATCGACTGGAAGAAAGAAAATGTTATTACCAAAGTGTGTCACTGACACAGAGTGAAGGAGCCTTTTCTATATTTAGGAAAAGTCGTTGTCAACATTGTCTTTAAGAAAGTACTCATTTTTCATCAAAAGTTAGCACTGTCATAAAAGAAAGTTTTGAAGAGAAAACTAAGGAAATTCAGGCAGTCTGTGCAAAAAACACTGGGATACAGAGTGTTTTTCAAAATTTTAATTAATACATGTTTATCATGGTGCAAGTACTGCAAGAGATCCAACATAGCACAATGTGTCCTATTGTCTGAGTGAGCCCCCCCTTTTAGAAAATCATCTTGTTAATAGGCTCCCCCCCCCCCAAAAAAAAAAAAAAAAAAAAAAGCCATGCACCATCAGGTTTTGTTATTCTTTAGAAATGCTGAGAGAAATAAGTGAGATCAAAGTTCACGATAACCAGATAGAAAGCAAACAGACCCTCTTTCACAACTTGCAGAATGGAAATGAATCATCATAAAGCTGACGGCTTACTTTCAATGTATTTATTGTCTGAGCCCAGTCCATCTGACTAATCTGGGGTATTGCCGTTAACAGGATACTGCTAGCTTTGTTTGCATTCTCCTTCATCGTCTTCAGTACATTGTCAACACAGACCTAGGACGAGAAGAAGAAAAGAGAAAAAAAATGTATAGCAGCCATTTAAGAGGAATCACTTGCAATGGTGCAAATTTCACTTCCTTTAAAATGTCACAGCCACGCATTTCGAAAATAACCATCTTGGTGTGTATTTTTATTTTGTCTACTTTGAGTGAAGTAAACACTCCTCTGTGAACAATTCTTGAAAGCAGAGCATGATGTAAAGACAGGCACCATCTTGTAAAATCAGAGCTATTATGAATAGATTATGTATACACTTTAAAAGAACGACGGTGTGAACTCAGTCGCTAAGATGTAACACACATAATGTGGCCTCCTCTTTACTCAAGTCACAATTGCACAAAAACGCCAATAACCAGTTCAACATAATGGTGAATAAAATCCACTCAGCTGAAAAATGACACCACCCACTCCTCCCGTAAAAGGCCAGTGCGGTTAATGTAGATGTCCGCTTTCTCAAGAAAGATACACTTTCATATTCTACATGCAACAACACATAATTTCTTTTGCAGCTATGCATTACAGGTGTAATTTTTACCAATTTGAAAACAAAAACCGATGATCTTTAGTGTGAAAATACTTTCTGCATTACTAAGGTGGTGTGTGGCTATAATTTACAAGATTATTGTGAACAGTACTCAGTCCCCCAATGTGGAACCAGTTTAGTGCATTTCCACAAATGACTGGAAGTGATGCTAAAAAGCCGGCATCAGTAGGGCAACACAAAATTGCTGAGCTAAGAACCACCAAAACCAGAGTCGTGTGTGTGAGAAATTCACAAATGTCTGGCAAATGGAGCACATGCTTGTCTTCCCTGTAATGTTATCCTTTAAAAATAAATTGATAAAACCTTCAATCTGGCACCAAGGCACAACTGACTGCACCTTCACTGTGCTGGTGGAAAAAAGGTATGTGAATATGATCTTAATAGCACTGGTTTAGTAAAACCATATTTTAAAAAAAAAAAAAAAAAAAAAAAAAAAGAATTAAAACATTCATGTACGAGTGCAGCAGAAACAAAGCTACTGGACAACACTGAGAACAGTTGATTGTGAAAGTACCGGCTTAACCAAATCAGTCACGTCAGGACCTGTGAGTGAGTCACAGCAGTAGGTGGAAAAACAATATTTTGCTCTTTGCACCTGTACTGGGATTGCTGCGTACATTTTACAACCATCACCTGTGCTCTGAAATTTAGTGACTCATTACATGGTTCAGTTTCGAGCCTACTGAACCATGTATACGACACTAGCAATCACTTTACTCACGTGGCTAATGCAATACAATGGAGGAACTAAAAATCAAAACGGTGAAATAAGCAGTTATACCGCACAAACGTGGAGTTCTCATTCCCATATTCTTGTATAAATGCAGTGAAGTATTAGTTCATAATCCATTCTGAAATTCATTCAGCCACAACTACAGTGTACATTACAGTAAGTTGCACAACATTACTTCCATCCTGTGTACCTCCTGTAACCTTCATTAACCCTTCCCTTGAGTGCTTGTTTTTATGTCACACTCAATGATTAGGTTCATGTTTTTGTGGTATTTGTCAGGATGAAGACAGTGTAGCTGATGACTCAGTGTGACTCAACCTCCTCTGGCAGGGCTTCCACCGGAGACTGGCAAACAAGCCGACTGGTTGGAGAGGGACAAGGAGGGGGGGGAGGCCAGGAGGTAGTATCAAGCTGCGAGGGAGTGAGGGGGGGGGGGGGGGGGGGGCGGCGGAAGGATGTGGCGAGCATTCTCTAACAGGAGGGGGAAGAGGTCAGCTGCAGGAACTCGGAAGTGGAGTTGTGAGTTGGGCTGGATCAGTTCTACATAAGCCGGCGCTCGCCCACACGCAGTAGATCAACTGCATAATCCAGAGCGCCTGACAGAGGCCAGGTCACTCGGAAGCCATAAGAAGCCACAGATACTTTTATCTACTTATGGAGCACAGATGTTAAAAACCTCTAACCCATCATTTATAGTGAGAGTGAACGATCTGGTTTAGAAACTCGTTGTGATACAGTAAACTTTAAAACTACAGCCACTACTTAAAATACACTGCTCAAAAAAAATGAAAGCAAATTTATTAGATTTCAGTGTGGGGGAAAAAAATAATACTGGACATCTATACTGATACGGACTGGGTAGTGTGTGAGGAATGAAAGGATGCCACATAATTTGGAAATGATCAATTTGAAAAGTATCAACCTACAGAGAGCTGAATTCAAAGGCATCCTGAAGATCAAAAGCAGCGGACTAGTCCATTTTGCTGACATTTCATTACTGTAATTCACACTGGTACTCAGTTTGGCCCCCACATGCTTGCCCAGCGATGTTGGACCATGCTCCTAATGGGACAATGGATGGTGTCTTGGGGGATCTCCCAGATCACTTGGCTCATGAACAGCCTGAAATGAAACACAACTGATGCCTAATGACAGCTAGGGTGACGCTCTCTAGCTAATCAGAGGCATTCACACCAGTATCCTGCTGG